AACTTTATTAAAATGCTCAACGTTTGCATTTTCACCGTAACTAAAAGGGTATTCATTAGCAATAACTAAAGTACTCATTTCATCAATCATTCTATCTTTATTATAAATGAAAGGTGTACCTCCGCCGGGTTGGTTCATGTATCCACCCAATTGTGTTTGGACGCCACCCCCCGAAGGACGGGGGCCATTTTCGAACAAGTCGTGTTTATTTTGCAAATGCCGACTCAAGGTTCCGGTTCCATCTCCCGTTTTCCAATTATATGACTTGACATTTGCACCTAGCGCCTTGCAAACTAGGCATGTACACGTGAACCTCTTTGGTTGACCAGGTTGCCATCCCGGGGGTGTGACCTCAACTCGTTCAAAATGTTTCCACACCCAAGAAAAATGTGCTCGACCTCTACTTTCACCGCCACCACCTTTCATAAATCAAATTATTAAAATTAATTTTTAAATGCTATTCATGAAAATAAGCTTTTAAATTTTAAATATTTTAATTATACTTATTTAAACGCATTTTTCATGGTAATTAACTAATTGTAAATCATAGAAAATTGGAAACTAAACTAACTTTATAATCATTAATAATAGTTTTTTTAAATATTCATAACAATAAAAATTTAATTAGAAATTACCTTGAGATGAAGGTTGAGATGTTGGTTGCGATGGAGGTGGCATAGTTGAACTTGATGATTGGTGGGACTCGTGGGAGAAATGTTTTGGTGGAGACGTTTGAATATTTTGCCTATCTCCTAAACCATAATCTCCATATTCATTGACAAATTGGTTTAAATTTTCCGTATTAATTTCATACGAAAAATTTGCACCACCACTCCTTTGGCTACCACTTCGACCACCACTTTGACTCCTTCCCATTCCTCCTCTTGAGCTCATTTTTTTTTTGTATGATTACTAATTATAATATGGAGAAGAACTTTTTTTTTTTAGAATCTTAAGAATACTAATAATAATATTAAGGAGATTTTTTTTAACAAAAATATAACTCTATATAACACTTGAGAATTTGAGAACAATAAGAATTTTTAAGTAAGAGAGAAAGAAAGCTTGAATTTGTGTGGAAATTTGAGTGAAATGGAATTGGTATTTATAGGAAAAATAGAATGGATGATCATACACTTAAAAAACTAGCCGTTAGATACAAAAAACTAGCCGTTAGATACAAAAAACTAGCCGTTTTTTTTTTAAAATGGATGTTAGGCCGTGCGGGTCGTGCGAATTGTGCGGGCTGTGCGGGCCGTGCGGGTTGTGCGGGTTGTGCCGGCCGTGCGGGTTGGGTGGGTCATGCGTGCGGGTTGGGTGGGTCATGCGTGCGGGTTAGGTGGGTTGGCTCGTGCGGGTTGGGTGGGTCATTCGTGCGGGTGGGCCGTGCGGGCTGGGTTGTGCCAGGTGGGTCGGGTTAGGTGGGTTCACGGGCTAGGTGTGTCGAATTAAATGAGTCAAAACGGGTTGTGCGATTTGGGTCGAATCAAACGGGTTAAACTGAGCTGGGTTGAAATGGGTTGTGTCGAAAATTTTGGACCCACGACACAACCCGGATTAAATCCGAGCTGTGCCGGATTGAAACCGGGTCGGACCCACGTGACCCACCAGCCGTGCGAGTTAGGGTGGGCTGGGTCCAACCCGGCCCACTGGCCACCTCTAGGTTCACCCTTTGGGCTAATCCAGATTTGAGGATCAATTCTGGGTTATTAGGTTTCATTCCCCTTCCAATTGTTGTTGCAGGGGAGCGAACACAGGTCCTCCCTGCCTAGTGTAGTCTCAATCACCGCTACACCAACAACCAATTGGTGTAGTGGTGATTGGGACTACAGTTGGTATGGAGGACACGTGTTATAAAATATTATATTATATACATATACTTTTTTATATTATAAAAAAAATTATATTATATACACATACTATTATAGTTAAAAGTATTATTATGTATAAAACAACATAAATTATTGCACATGATTGTTGTATATCTAGTATAGTACATGAGCAATGCACGATTTTTAAATCATAAGTAATAGCATTGTTAATAGGAATATTACAATTTAAAACACGAGTAATAGTTACAATTTATATCTATCCCTTTTCCGTCAAATGTCTAATTCAATTTAACTTTTATTCTTCTTGTTTAGATTGGTTATTGGTTCATTTTTATTTTATTTTTATTTTATTTTTTTTTATGCAAGAAAAACAAAAGGTCATTGTAAAAGACATTGTATAGAAAATGAAAGGCCGATTAAAATTAAATTTATGTTCAAGATTATGTATTTTTTTCCAAGACAACATTTCGGCTCAACATTCAGTATTTGTCAAGGAGTACAACAAACGATAAAAGTAATTTTTACACTATTTTGTATCTTTATCAAAAACTTTTGTATTCATCCGATTACTTGAATTGAATTTATGATAACTTGTAGACTATTTTGGGTAACTTTTATCAATAAAGCATAAATAACTTTCATTCATTACAGGGTAGCTTTTATAATAGGTGCACAATATTTTATTATATATCTGATTTTTTTAAAATGTTTGTATTGATTTCATAATTGACGTCAAACTAAATTCTATCGATTTTATTTAATTTTCATAAAAAAAAAACAATATTAGCCTTTCTAAATACGAAATATTTGTTTCCTTAATTATGCCACTTTAATCATATTGCTTCAAATTAATTATTATTCTTAAACTTACTATAAATAAAGATTGGAAAGACTTTATGAATTATTTGTAGTATTAGAAAGTATATATATTAATTATAAAAAAATTAAATTAATATTTATGTTAGGAAATCATGAAAATCTTATGCATATATAGAAACTTGCTTTTATGGTTTGAAGTTTAACAAAAATAATTATGCTTGAATATGTAAACAGTAATTATATAGATATATTTTATACATAAGATAAAGTGACATTTGTCATCCTCACATTGAGGCGCTTGTCTTTTAGTATAATATATAGAAGAATATAGATTACTCCAAGCACAGATCCACATAATAAGACAAGAGTTTGGCAGCACATAGATAGTTTTATCACAAAATTAAACCATTAGTAACAAGTTATCAACTCTTTATTACTCTTGGATTATAGTCTCAATTCACAAATAGGTTATACCTTAATCAATAATTCAATATAGATTTTTTTTTAAAAGTCTAAATTCAAAAGGTAAGAATTGAGATGGGTAGATGTTTTTATTTTTATTTACAACAAATGATTTTTTTTTATATCTTATCTAGAATATCATTTTGTTGAAATTAATAAGAACCGAGGTAATAGAAGAGTTAATGCAAAGTGTGGGTGGATTTTATGTTTTGTAAAAAAAAAAAAAAAAAAAAAAAAAAAAAAATTGGTGGATTTTTGTATTACTTTCGCAATCATATTGGATTGGACTATTGGAGGCATGATAATATTAAATAATACAAAAAGGACCCATAAATGAAGTGATGAATGGTGATTGAGACAATTTCTCGTGTAATTTTAAGAATGAAAAATTATTCAAAAAATATACTATCATTCTTAAAATAAAAGATCATACATCTAAACTAACATAATAAAAAAAAAAAATAGTTAGATTAGAAGATTGCCAATATAGAACAGAGGGATTATTGGTGCATAGGTGTCAAGCTAAAAAAACCCCATGGAATAGAAATCTTTGGCTTTCCTAAAATATTTGGTGAGTTTGTTTCATTGTGAATTCACCCGACTCACTTTAAAAAGTGATAATATGAAATTTTTAAAAAGTTAAATACAAGAGAGTCCACTTTACAAGTCTCAATGAGATTTCATCCCAAAATCATATGATAATAGAAGGAGTAGCCCCTTAGCCTTATAAAGTGTTTGACATTCTCTTCTTTTCTCAAAGTGGGACACTTACATGTGTTATTTGATAAAATATACTTCAGCAAATGTCTTGTTTCTAAATTTCAAAAATCGAGATGTTCCAAAACTCATATAGGTATGAAATATGAGCCAGACCCCATTAATATCCTATATCAACCAAATTTCGTTGATATAATGGCAATCTTGTAATAAGTTGGAACTTATTATGAAACGCACATAAAAACTAGTGGAATGCTGACGAGGACCCGTATTTCCAATTTTTTATTCAAAAATCGTAACATTACTCATATGGACGGAAAATTTAAAGCCGTTTGATATCTTTATTAAGATCTAGAATTCTAGAGGAGAGAGAATAACAAATAACTTATCTTCGTAAGAGCAAATGATGATTATCGCCGGTGGATAATCCGCTACCACCGTCGGTCAATTAATCAAATCAATACTTCTATAATTCATGGGCGTAATTTTGCTGCTTACCAGCATAAAATTGAAATAGAAAAGACAAATTCATCGATCGCGCAATTACTAACATTGTCTGCAACTCATTGTACTAAATTCAACTAGCAATGCATATAATCACATTTTCCGGCAATTTGTGAATCGAATGATACCTTAATTTTGGATTCGAATTCAACTTCGATCATGTCTTCGTCAAAGCAACTGAGCTCCATCACATTTTCACTCTTGTTATCCTCGAAACCCACAGTCTTCATCATACAATGTACACGACCTTATTGATCATCGAAAATCCCAAGTACAGCCGCTTAATTCAGTGTAATTGTCGAAGAAATAGCGCAAAAACCATTAATGAGCTTCGTTGCGGAAGAGAGAGAAAGCTCCACACTTAAAAGGGTTTTGAAGAGAGAGAAACAAAACCATTAACGACTGTTAATGTCGTGTACATCAGACCCCACATCAAAACGGGGGACATAAAACGGGGCAACACGGGATTTTCATTTCTCTTCCAGCTTTGTCCTTCATTTAATGAGTGAATTGACGACGTCACCCCTATATCAACGCCGCTCGTTGATATAGGATATCAATTTGGATTTGCTCATGAAATATCCAATAATTTATATTTGTCTTATTGTAAAAATGAACTAACACAATACCTTCTCCGCTCTTAGCTTATTAACATCAAGAACAGAGAAGTAATGTTTCCCACACATAGATAGGCGATGTATTAATCAGTGTTGCGTAGGGTTTTTCACCTTTATTAATCCTCCAATCACTCCAACTTTCTACTTACTCCATAAAATATATATCAACTTTTGTCTGTCTATACTAGCATCTAAATCACATTCCAAATTAAGTATCATAATATTATAATGAGATTCTACTATACATGCTTTACTATACATCGTCCTCAATTATTTGAATTCCAAACATTCTATAAGACGAAACCTTAAATAGAGAATCCTAAGAAGAAAAAAAGATCATACTCCTTAATTAGACTTTTATCAACCTCGTACTAATACACTTTTTCATGGATCAAAATCTTCCAACCTCATTGGATCCCTTCGATTTCGATCCAAACTCACTAGATGATGATCTAATGCAGCTTATCAATAATGCTTTTCCACAAACCCCACAAAATCATGATGTTCAAGCTGTGTTAAATACTTCAACAGAGAATCATCAATTCACTATTAGTAACTCATCATTTTATTCTTCAGCTCATGCCTCACCACCAGCTCCAACTCCAACTCCTGCCCCGGCCCCGGCCCCGGCCCCGGTCCCTAGTAAGGATGAGGCCAGAAAGAAGAAAGCTAAGGCCGTGGAAATAGAGCGGAAGAGGAGGCAAGAAATGTCCTCCCTCTACCAAGAACTTCAGTCCGTACTACCTCCTGGACTTTTTAAGGTTAGTACGGTATTTAATTTGTATGGCCGAAATACTTTTTATTTTAAATTGAAAAGGTATTCAAGAAAGAATACTTCGTATTACAGTAGAATCTAAAAGTCTCCCAACTTCAGTAAAACGCAGTCCTAATAATGAAATTAAGGTTATTTTGACTAATAGCACCTTCATAAAACCACTTATTAGCTTTTACTACCTATATAAAAATAAATTTTTTTATCACCAACAAATTTTCCAAAAATTGGATTTTACCATAAACTATCGGATTCCGTCATAAATCCGTTAGTAGGGCTCACCTTTTTGACGTTTCCTCTTCATCTCCCCCGATCTTCCATGTCAGCCAACCGCCAACGAGATCGGAATTTCAAGTGGGGCTAGAGAGGAATCGGAATTTGGTGTTGGCTAAGGAAAGGATCAAAATTAGGTGGTGGCTAGGGTTTTAGGAGTGCAAAGTTTGGTGGTAGCTAGGGTTTTAGGAGTAGTCGAAATTCGGTAGGAGGGGTTTTATGGGTGTTAAGGTCAGAAATTAGTGGAAAGGGGGTCAAAATCTGGTGGTGGTGGCTGGTGCGTTGCGGTGGTTGTGGCTATGCGGGACTGTTGTGTGGCGAATTGGTGATGGAGCTAGTTGAGTAATTGTGATCTGGCAGTGGGGCTGGTAGCCGGACCGGTGGCGGGGCTGGTAGTCGTCCGACGATGGGGCTGGAAGCCGGCCTGGCGGTGGATGGGAGCCGGTTGATGGCTGGTTTTGTTTTTAAATTAAAAAAAAAACAATTTTTTTTTGTTTTTTAATTTTTTTTAAATAATTTACCAGATAATATGGTGACACGTGTATATGGTAGGTCTCACTAACGGATTTAAGAACGGAATCCGTTAGTTGGAAGTAATTGGTAATAAAAGCCAACTTACATTTTTTTTTTTTTTTAATGTGGTGGTAAAATAAAACCTTTTTTTTATGTAGGTGGTAAAAACCAATAAGTGGTTATTTTGGAGGTGGTAAAAGTCAAAATTTCTCTAAAATTAAATTATAAATTGATTAATAAGGTTCTTGATGGAGTATAAAACATATTTTTTAGCCTCAACCATGCATTCACTTAAATTTTTGGTTGAATTGGTCTTTTAATTGATGGTTGAGGCCAATGAATATGTTTTATAATCTATCAATTATCTATATATATTTTGTTACAATGGTTTGAAAAACACACTTACATTCTTAATTGTATCAAATTACGATTATTCTTAATTCGATTGATGCAGAAGAGGAGGATAGTGACTTCGGATCTCTTGCAAGTGACAACAAACCATATAAAGAAGATGGAGAAGGGTATAAAAGGACTAAATGATAAAAGAGATGAATTAATGAGAATGATGAAATCAGCTGTTGGAAGTTCAACCAATAGTAATACTTCGAAACAGAAGCAAAATCATTATGTCACAGTAAAGCCTTGTAAAGATGGACTCATAGAAATCGTTGTTAGTACTAGTGCAATGGATGATGACGACCATGAGAATAATAACCGAGGCTTCAGCCTTTCGAAAATTCTCCGTTTACTCGATGAAGAAGGGCTAAATGTGATCAACTGCTCTTTAGCAAGAATTGACAGTAATTTGGTTCACAACATACAAGTACAGGTAGTGATATACTCCGTATGTATATAGTGCTTGTGATAGAGTATAAAATATATTTCTGGACCTCAACCATCAGCTTAATAAAACATAATCCTAGGCCTCCAGTTTAAGCTTTTGATTGAGGCCCAGGATTGTCCAGGAATATATTTTATACTCTATCAACTTAATATATAAGTATTCCAATTCATATGTTACTCCCTCATTCTCATAAGATTGTCCCTATAAGAAATCTAAGTATATATATTGACGGTTATAGACGTCACTTGGACATTATTCTAAAAAAAGTTATAGGCAACTGATCCTTTTTAAGGGACGAAGAGAGTACTATATGTATATCTAGTTAGTATTGGTAGTTGATGTTGTTATTCTGATTGTAATTAACTTGGATTCTGCAGGTTGATGATGGGAGAAGCATTGATCTATGTCTACTGCGGCAGACATTGACGGATCACTCGTGAATTATGAGTTATAAAATCATAGGAAGCACGTATTGTATTGTATTGCATTGTACATGTACGAGCATTTTTTTAATTTATTGTAACTTGTAAGAGCATCTTAGACTAGTTTTTAAGGACGATAAAGATTCGCAGTTTATAGACTAGTATACTGCAAATGTTTGGAAGGAAAAGTGTGTACAATAGTAATTCCTCAATTACTTAATTAATGTACTTTTTATTTGCTATACTATTCTAAACAGAGTATGTAAAGCTAACAAATCTTTTCCTTTTCAAAAATATATAACAAGTACAAACCTATTGTCCTTAAACAAATCCTATTGGACGGTTACTAACTCATTATTTCAAGTAATTGTTTCAGAAATAATTCTATTTAGGGCCTATTCTGATTTACTAAACTGAACTGATTGGAGCTGAATTGAACTGAATTGAGTTGTTTATAAGAAAAGGAAATCGTTAACTGAATTGAATTGAACTGAACCGATTGGAGCTGAACTAAACTAAACTGCACTGAAATTAAGCTGAAGAGAACAAGCTAAGCTTAGTTTATTTTTCAACTTCATTACGATTTACTCCGTATTTCATTCAGCTCAAAAGAATGAGCCTCAATACAATATAGGTGGCCGTTTGGTATGGTGTATTTAATAGACAATTATGGTCAGTGACGAAACCAAGAATTTCATACCAGTAAACTACCTCTAAAATTGGAATTATTTCAAGAATTTAAAGTTGGGATTATTAAAAGAAATGGAGCAAAGTTGGGATTATTAATATCAATTTTTCCAACAAAATATCGATATGATGAATTAGCAATTAATAAGTACGATTTTTCAATGGAGAACACAAGATAATGTGTTGCAAATTGAATATAATTAATTAGTTTGGGCATAAATTGGGTCTAATTTTGTTAGGATTTTAGGGGTTTTCGGTCAGTTTGTCAAGTAAAGCTAGTTTTCATTTTGGTCAATTAAAAGAGTATGAGATAATATTGGGCCTATGAGCTATGACCTGTCCATCTGAAGTAATGGATCTATTAACAAATATGGGCTGAGGTTGATACGAGTTGGGAGGGCCCATTGAAAAAATAGATTTGGAAATTAAAATTAAGGTAGCTTTTTTAAAAAAAAAAAAAAAAAAATTAAGGTAGCTAACGCACAGGATATGCGCACATAGTTAGCCTTATTCAAAACTCTCTTTTGATTTAGCTTTAATGTTTTATACTTTCTCCGTTTTCTTTTACTTGCAACACTTCTCTAAAAAGGAAATGTCACAATACTTGCAACACACTATAAAAGGAAAGTTATTTTAGGGAAAAACTATACTATTTCCCTTATTTAAAGCACATGACCCACTAAATTACACTCCTAACAACCACTCATCCTATTTTAAAGTTTATTATATCATATATCATGTAAACTCCACCTTTCTTAATTATCGCACTAAAGGGTGTGTTGCATCTAAAAGAAAACGGAGGAAGTATATATAGTTGATGAACATTATTCATAAGCATTTGATTAACCTTTTAATAAGGTAGGAGTTTATTTAAAAAAAAAAAAAAGATTTTGTTGGATTGAGCAAAATAGGTCGATGGTACTCGTATTACACAGCTAGTAACATTTTGACAATGCTTTCAATATATATCTTCTATATGTTCAATGTAAAGGAGTCCATCGAATCGGATCAGACTTACTTAGACCAACCCTAACCCATGTTGGTGGGTTTGCGTTGTTACTAACTAGAACATGAATTCTTCCACAATCGTTAATGTATTAGAAATTTAGAATAATATTAGCGTTACAATCATGCAAAACTATCACCATCATATCATTAAATTAACAGATCTGTCAATGTACAATCATACCCCTATTGCAAGTTAAACTACCAAAAAAATCTTTCAAGGTATTTATATTGAACAACAAAGGATCCTCAACTAACCCAATGGAACAAAAAGAATATGTGTAATCAATGGTCTTTCATTGATGAGCTCAAAGAATATGTGTAATCAATTGTCATTAGATTACAGTAGATAGTCAGTAGATGTTTGCATTATTTTTATTTCCGTATCTCTAATAGGAAAAGTATAAATTTACTTATAACATCTTTGTAGATAAAAAAAAAAAAAAAAAAAGGTTTTGAAAGTTATTAAGTTTTTGTCGTGCAATGTGCCTATATCATGGCCACAAGTTTATACATAATAGATTGATTGGTGATGATATCATAAGTCATAACATAATATATGGGTGTTAGATGTGAGAAGTGGAGTTTAATGACTTAACATAATATATGGGTGTTAGATGTGAGAAGTGGAGTTTAACGTGCATTTAGATTGAATTTGGTCGGTATTTTAATATTCATGTGATCAATAAAAAAATATGATGGCAAAGTTGCGATAGATGCTATAGTTTGTTTACCATGCACGTATTATTAAACTTAATTAAAAATTAGAATGCTTAAGACACGTTTAAGGACTAATCATACTATTAAAGTTAGCTTACTAGCTATGATTATCATATTTTGACATGTGTTTAGTCAGGTTTTAGGGGGCACGATATTGAATTATATTAATACTAATATAGATTAGTCCTCCATAGTTTCTTGCTCCCTTGACCTTCCATGGAAAAGGACTCATTTAGCATACACGTTTTTAATTATACTTTATTTTACCAAAATAAATTAATAATTAGTACTTTCGGGAAAAATTGTCATGCTTTGAATCTTCTTCCAAACCCAACTTATTAATTCAAGCCTTTCCATTGTTTTTAATTATAATTGTTGTCGTCATACGTAGTATTTGGTAAACTATTTTTTTTTTAAAAGCATTTTTAAAAAAAAAAAAAAAACCTATTACTTTAATGCTTCCTTTATCATTTACAAGTATGTATAAACATACTATATACTTGATGCGGAGAATATGAGTGAAGCCAAATAAAGATAGCATTAGATCGTCTAGACTCCGATCTAGATACATGTTTCGGCTATTTCACCAAATGCCACTGAGCAATTTAATAGTTCACCAAATGCCATCAAGGTTTTCAAAATTCACCAAATGCCACCGAGTTTTAAAAAAATTCACAAAGTGTCATTATTGTCTAACGGAGTTAACTCCGTTAATCACTAGGGCTTAATCATGACACATGTGGACACGTGTCAGTCAAATATTGGTTTAAAAAAAAGTAAATAAAAATAAAATTAAAAAAACCTCTAAATCTTAACCCAACCTAGCCCCACTACCATAACCACCAACCAAAGCCAACCGACAACCCAAAGCCAACCGCCGAAACCCCCTAACCTCCCGTCGTAAATCCGCTGGAACCCCCTAACCTCCCCCTTGAACCCATTGACCCCACCAAAACCACTTAATCCCCCTTTTTCCTCCTCACGATAAATCACCCCAGCCACCGCAATCGTCTCACGCAATGCCCACAATTCCGCCTGCCCGACTCCAGCACCCTGATCCCCACCCCAGCCCCCGCAACCACCTCACGCACCAACACGACGCATCACCATAGCCACCAAAATCGACCATGGAAACCTAAAAAAGAACCCTACTATGGAAACCCTTCACCCTCAAACGGCCGAAATCGACCATGGAAATCCAGGATGGTCGATTTCTATGGTCGATTTCGTCGTTTCATGGGTGGAGGATAGGAGTGGTTTTGCGCGGTGGTCATGTTATTGATCAAAGCTCGTGCTCGCTGTTGGTTTTTGGGGTCGGGGCAGCTTGTGTGGGTGGTTTTGGGGGTCACTGGTGGGTCAGGTGGGATGCTAAAGGGCCGGTCATTTTTTTGTGGTTAAGGGTGTGGTCAGCCATTTTCCGGCGAGATAGGGGGAGGGGCTAGGGTTTGGCGATGGTGGGGTGGCTGGGAAAATTTTTGGTTTTTTTTTTTTACTTTTTTTTATATAAATTAAGATAAATGGACCAATTATATCATGACATGTGTCATGATTAACCCCTAATAACTAACTGAGCTAACGGTCGTTGGTCATTAATGACACTCGGTGAGGTTTTAAAAAAATTGGGTGGCATTTGGTGAATTCTGAAAAGTATGATGGCACTTGATGAATTTTTAAAGTGCTCAATGACATTTGGTGAAATAGCCATACATGTTTATTATAGTAATAGGAAACTGAAGAAAACTTTGTATGTAATACCACCTTGGGTTTTTGATATACATGAGATTTGATCTCTATTTTATGTATCATTTTTAAGACTTAAACTGACTAAACTAGTTGAAATTTACTAACTTAACATGCATGCAGTTTGCAGATTCATCACTATATTAACCATTAATATAACTTCATTTGATTTATGTATATGTAAGACAAATTTATAAAATGAGAAGGATCATGACATCTTGTAACGAGTACCCACGCATGAGGCATTAGATGACTATTAATACGAGTATATCTATATCTATACTTTAGTATTTAAAAACACAAACCACACATTACTCATATGTCACATATCACCACAAATCACTCATATGCTACATACCACCTTCTTTAACAAAAAATAAAGTTCATGTCTTTATGCATTCTGTAACTTGCAAATTTAAGTAAGGAAATTAAGTGTTTCAACTACACCAAAATAAAGTCGTAGTCTTTTCATCTCCTAAACTTAAAATAAAGTAATAGTAAACCCGTAAAAAAAAAGTAATCGTAAAAAATGAGCTATTTAGTCCCCATTATATAAACATATATATATAAAGTACAATAAAACAATGCTGATTTATATAACACAAATAAACAACAAATTACAAGGAAAATATTCTAAGTAATAACCCGTGCATGGAACGGGCCAGAAGGCTAGTTTTACCTAAAACAATATGTCATATTAAGAGTCTGTTCTCTTACGTTGAAATTCAGTTCAGATCAGCTCAGTTCAGTTCAGTTCAGCTCAGTTCAGTTCAGTTCAATTCAACTTCTAATTTCCTTCTCTTTTAAAATATTCAGTTCGGTTAAGCTCAGTTCAGTCAATGAGTACAGGCCCTAAGTGTATATGGAATGAATGCCTAAATCATGTATAGATTGGTGTAATTAATGTTTGCTTTAATCTAATACTCCATTTATATAATTAGCTCTCTTATCTAACGCCACCCTAGCTAGTAGTGTTCGTTAGTTTTGTCATATAAAATATATTACAATCAAACTTTGCTATCCTGTTATTAATTATTACTTATGTTTAATGGCATATTTATGTATAGCATTAATTAGAAAAAAGGTTCATATGTATTAAAAAAAAAATGTTTTTGTGATCACTCTACCAATCCAAATTATCCACCCACTCTATAATTTTTTTT